TGAGGACACAAGCTAATAGGCTGAGATGGTTTTGGCTTCTAATTAAACCAAGGTGAGAAAAAAGACAGGCAGTTATTACAAATTATAAAATCTAATGTGCAAAAACACAATTAAGCAATTGAAAGAAATAGCACATCCTTGATGTTGCATGCCTTTTTCTGAATTCCTGATAGTACCAACAAGCACTTTGAATGTTCTTCTTATGAACTTTTTATGCATACTGGATTTAGAAAGGCCGTATCATCTAGATGATCTTAGAAGTCTTTTCCAACCTTAATGATTCTATGGCTCTATTAGGGGCATGGTTTTGTGGTCAGTACTCGTGGTAGGTGGACAGTTGGACTTGGTGATTAGAGGTCTTTTCCAACCATAGTGAGTGAGTCTGCGGTTCTTCTGTTCTATCTGGAACTTGTGCTCACTCAGTAGAGGGTTTGCTGTATCTCTGTTCATAATGCTGATTTGCTGTGAGACCCTGGGAAAGCAGATTTCCAAATGTAGGTTTTCACACAAGGCAGGACACAGACTGCTTTCTGTCAAGGCTGGAAGCTGAACAGAAACCTGGTCCCTGTGAGCTTAGTCCATGGCAAAACTCCACTTACAATGCAACAATATCAGACTTTTAATACTTAATAGCATATAGAAGGACAGTGTGAAATCATAGGACCACTGGGACACATTTCAAATGGAAAATGTGAACTCAAGGGAAGAATGAAATCAAGAAGCACAAAAATACAGCTCTTGCTTTATCCAAATCTGACAGCAGTACTTCATATAACAAAAACCAGATCGTCTTGGCCAAGGAGTTTCATTTTTAAAAAGAGGCTTAGTTTTAATCTCTGCCTGTGATGGATTGTCCATGGTTAAGAACCTGCATTGGTGTAAAGAATTGGTACTACTGGACACTTTAGTATTGCAGATTTTCTATGTTTAAGACATTTCCATATTTAAGGCTTCCCTGGGCCTCTTTATAGAACCAGAAAAGTCTGTTCTGCAAAAAATGGACCTTTCTTTATGGAAGAACCAGAAAAGTCTGTTCTGCAAAAAATGGACCTTTCTTTATGGAAGTGTGCAGGTAAAAGTTGCTTTTTCACTGCTGTTTATTCCTTCAGGAACAGGGAAGTAAGGAAAAGTATGTTCCTATGACTCTCACTGAGAGTGCTAGCGTACATTGCTATGTCTCAATTATTGTAGGCTGCTAACCTGCCTTTAGACTAGCTTATCTAAGTATGAACTGCAGGTTTAGCTTTAAGCTGGTGCTGTTGCGGTTAGGCACTCATGGTTAAATATTCAGAAACATAAAATCATAGAGTGGTTTAGTGGTTTGGACCTTAAAACCCATCCAGTTCCAACCCCTGCCATGGGCTGGGTTGCCATGAATGCATCTTTCGAGCTATGGTCCCAGGAATGAGTCATTCTAAATTTAAGCCTAATCATTCACAGTAGATTCATCAAAGTGCATTACAGCCCAACGCTTCTGTTCAGAAGCACAAACCCAAACACTGACAAACAGAAGTAGAAACAAAGTGGGTGACCACTGAGATGTGCAGCACGACTGCCTTCTTGTGCAAAATGGAACCAAACTTCGTTTAAAATGCCATGAAAATGGCTCAACCCAAGTGATTGTGGGGTTTTGCAGTTTGTACATTGTTGGGAGTGAATGCTCATGGAACAAATGGTTCAGTGCTGTGCAGCTATCTGAAATGCAGCGTTCATTCTGGCACTAAGTGATGGCGTCAGCAATTGATGCAATTCTGCACTGTTAACAGGCCTGCCTATGGAAAGCTGCAGTGCAATGGGGAAGGACTTCTGAGTAGGAGCATGGAGGAGATCATCAGAAACAACTGCTGTGATGTGACAGACCCTCATTTTCACCAACCAAGGTATGTACCAAGACGTTGACTGAAAGCAATTAGAGTGACCAAACCTAAATGATAGCGTGGTTTGGGTTTCACTAAAAAGAGATGAGCTTTTTAAACAGAGGCACACATTGGGGTTGTTGAGGAGATGGTCTGAAAAAGATCTCATGCCAAACAGCGTGAATTTCAAAATGAGTTACATGAATTTCACCAGGTTTATTGCAGACAAGAAGCACTAACTCCAGTTTTGCTGTATTACCTCTGTTTCTTGCTCTTGTTGCACAGTGTGTGAGCTTCTGGTTGCAACTGCTTCGAGGTGAATGCAAAGCAAAGTAGTAAGATAGTGAAAGAGTTCATACATCCACTGAAATCTGAAGGTGACGTTAGGAAAACAGAAATACTTCATTTTAAGTATGTAGCTGTGTCTTTTGGCTCCAGCTGCCTGTTTGCACAACATTCATCCATAATGAATGGAAAAAAAAAAAAAACCAAAAACCAAGCAGCCATTTTTAATACATTTCAGAATATTGTTTAATGGGGAAGCAGATAAATACTCACAGGACTCGTTCCACCGGCATTAGAGGACTTGTGAATGTCTCAAAGAATCAAAAAATCAGCCTTGCTTGAACTTCATATGCCTTCATTTTTAACACTGCTCTTTATTTCTATACCAAAAGTTGTTATATTTGTTACCAGTCCAGACACTGAGTCATTCCTGTTTAAGCCAGACACTGGGCTCTCTGTGTAATTTCTCTCTCCCCTTCAGAGTTTCTGGACTGAGAGGAAAGCTGTAATGCCAGGTGCCTCCCCCAGCTCCATTTCTAACTGTAAAAACACACAGAAGTGCTCAGTGCTGCCAAGCAGCCATGGAAATTCTCACAGCTCTGGTTATTTCAGATGCTGCTATGTTAGGGGATACCTGGTTTTGAACAAGCTCTGCAGACTGCAGTTGCAATGGCTCAACTTCTTCTCCCTAGAAGCCCCTCTCCTGGTCCCGTATGACAAGGTTGTGACCATCGTTTGACTTACTTCATGAAAGGAAAACTGGCATTTAAAGGTGAGAACTCTGCAAGCTTCTCTCTTAATCTTACTTTTTCTGGAAACCTTTGTGGAAGTTTTAACAGTGCTGAGGTTGAAGGGATTTGGATATTGCTCATATTCAGTGTTGACAGAACCATACGTGATACAAGTTTGAATGTGGGAGGCATCAAAAATCCAGTCCTTATTTTTGCCACCAAATAACCCTTGAACCAAATGGCTGCTTTGAGCTGTGGTTTCAAGAACGTGCTTGATAATGAAGCGTAAAATCAGGTTTATTTTCAAAGGGATTTGGCTCCCTACCTCACTGCTATTGGCTGTATAATGTAACTTCACTGCCTGTGTGTGGATGCTTTTAGACTCGTGCAGTTCCATTGCAGTGGTTGTTTAGTAAACAGTAGGGGAAATTAAGCTTGAGAACGTCCTTCAGTTTTATCATTTGGATCCTCTCAGTGTCTGAAGAAGGGCTATAAGGAAGAAGGAGACAGAGTCTTTAGTAGAGTCTGTTGTGATAGAACAAGGGGGAATGGTTTCCAGCTGAAAGAAGGAAGATTTAGATGAGATACAAGAAGTTTTTTACAGTGAGGGTGGTGAGGCACTGCACAGGTTGCCCAGAGAGGTGGTGCAGGTATCCAAGTTCAGGGGATTGGACTCTGAGCACCGATGGAGCTGTGGGTGTCCCTGCTCAGTGCAGGGTTGGACCTGATGGCCCTTGAGGGTCCCTTCCAACTCCAGCCATTCCATGATTTGTCAGTAATTCTAGTTTTTACCACTAGATGGCTTCCCAGGATAGTGGATATAGATTGAGAATTCACCTCTGGGGTTGGCTTCATTTTGGCACGCTCTTATTAACAGCACACTCATCAAAACCAGCCCGACTGAACCAGCAGTGTGAAGTTGACATCGCTGAGGATCTTCTGGCATCCTGTAAACTTTAAATTTCAGATTATGATGGTGCTGCCACAATTGGTAATGCAGGGTGAGCAGCCCTGAGTTCAAAGGTGGAGAGGCTCTGGCACTGCTGCCTGGAGAAGTGATGGATGCCCCATCCCTGGAGGTGCCCAAGGCCATGGATGGGCTGATCTGGTGGGGGGCAACCAGCTCACGGCAGAGGTTGGAACTGGATGGTCTTTAAGGTCCCCTCCAGCCAAAGCCATGGTGTGAAATGTGCATTTCGACCCTCCTCAGTATGCAAGGTACCCACCTCACGCTTAACAGTGCAAACAAACAACTCAGGGACCTAATTGCAACATTTCTGCCCTTTCTCCTGTTACAACATAAAGTGCAACAGAGACCTTGTGTTGCAACTGTGCTCTTGTGTCTGGACAAAAGTCATGGAAAAGGAGAGAGAAATCATCACAGAATCACAGCGTGACTTATGTTGGAGGGGACCTTAAAGACCATCCAGATCCAACCTCCTGCCATGGGCAGAGCTGCCAACCACCAGCTCAGGCTGCCCATCCAACACCACCTTGAATGTCTCCAGGGATGGGGCACCCACAACCTCACTGGGCAGCAGTGCCAGGGCCTCAAAGTCAAAACCTTCTTCCTGTCATCTAACCTAAATCTTACAGCTTGAAGCCGTTCCCCCTTGTCCTATCATATCAGACCATGCGAAAAGTCACTCTCCCTCCTGTTGGTAAGCTCCCTTCAAGCACTGGAAGGCTGCAACGTCTCCCCATAGCCTTCTCTTATCCAAAAAGCTGCTCGATGCAAAAAAGTGCATCTCCCTCTGTCACTGCCCAGCCACTGATGGGCAACACCAGCATCTCCCAGCATGGAAAACCCACGAGCTGTCCGTGAAGCCATCGGCTGGGTGCTGACAGATGTCGACTTGGGTTCAGCCCGACCATCTCGGGCTGCAAGCAGCTTTCCCACCGACGCCGGTTCGAGCCGGGCAGGCGGCTCTATGGCAGCCAGGGCTTCCCTTCCGTGCGGGTTGCGGTGCGGTGCAGCCCCGAACCGCGGGCGGCAGCCGGAGAACGGGAACCGGGCTCCGGGGGAGGGGAGAGCTCAGCCAGCCACTCACAGGAACAGTAGTGAAATCTCCCCGACACTTTAACTGTCAATCAGGCTTAATGGGGTATAAAACCTCCCCAGCGCCGCGGCTGCGATAGGCAGAGAGAGCAATAGGGAGAAATGAGTAAGGGCTGAAGGAGTGCGCGGCGTAATTCCTGCTCTGTGATCGCAGATCCGCCGGGTGAGGAACCAGGAGAGGGGGCAGAGGGGCAGCCCAGCCCTGCAGCCGCTCGGGACGGAGAGCCGGCAGATATTTATAGATAGGAAAACAAAAACAACCTTCCCCTGAATAGACCCTTTCTTAAATAGAAAGTCCTGGCAATTCTGTCTCATTTCAGCGATTTCCTGAGTCTAAGAATAGAAATGAGCCGCCTGGAAGGCGCTGCAGGCAGCAATTTGGAGGCATAGGCTGCTTTATTTTATTTTTTCCAAGTATTAAAAAAAAAAAAAAAAAAAAAAAAAAAAACCCTTCCATTTGGACACGGGATTTGCACGTCGGCCTTTGGCACGGAGGGACGGATGGCTACTTTTAATTCTACTTTTTGTTTTCCTACAAAACTGTCTCCCAGTTAAAGGCACGGGATCAGCATTACCTGCATGTGACAACCCCGGGACCCCGGAGGACACCGACTGAGAGGCAGAGCTCTCCTGCACTGCTTTCCTTCCACCCCACTTTTTTTTAGGAAGGAAGAGAAGGAATTATTATTATTTTTTTTTCCCCATTTTTTTTCCAGCCCAAGAATTGCTTGCCCCCAAGTTTTGGAGGGGGACCGAAGACTCGTCACCCACCTCCGGGTGCATGAAGGGTGCTGGCTTTCCATCTCTGTTCCCTTGGTCTCGTGAAGGGTTGGAAGAGAGTTTTGCCACCTATCACCTGGAACAAGAGGATGGTTTGGAAATGGCTGGGCGCTGTGCTGCTGCTCCCCGTGCAGATGCTTTACCTGGTGCTGAAAGCCGCCGTTTGTGCTCTGCTGCCACCCAAACTACGGGACCTGTCTGGGGACACCGTGCTGGTGACAGGTGGGGGACGTGGCATCGGCCGCCAACTGGCCCGGGAATTTGCCAGGCGAGGAGCCAGGAAGGTGAGATGGGATGTGGGAATGGGCACCTGCTGCTGTGTGGGGCCTGGAGCTGTGCTCGAATCATGGGGCTGGAGGGGAGAAGGGGCAGCTGGAGTGGGACTCACCTCCATGACCTGGGCCTGCCCTGCTTTGGGACTTGGGGTGGGAAGAGCTCTGCTTCACCCCAGTGGCTTTCTGTTTGCCAAGTCATCTCATGTGCTTTCTGAAGCCACTTCTGTGCTGCCTTTTGCTGACCCTGTTTGAGGTAAGATGAGTGCTGCTCAAAGGCTGTGCCTCCACAGCAAGGAGGAGCAGCACAACTGAGTATGAGCTGTGCATCTCTCCTTTAGTCTGCATGTTTCCTTTAGGAAAGGAGAGGGACTGGGAGAATGCTGTGTCTGCACTGCAGCCTGGAGATGCAGATGTAGCTGCTGCCCTCGTTCCCTCATCAGGAACTGCTGTGTACCTTTGAAATCTGTTTTCATAAGTACAGGTGTGAATCAAACAGGGATAGTTAAAAACAAACAAGCAAAAAGCCAGGACTGACCAAGAGGCAGAGGCTGGTCTCCTCTCCCGGGTAACAGTGATAGGACCAGAGGTGATGGCTTCAAGTTGCATCAGGCTGGATATTAGGGAAAATTTCTTCTCAGAAAGAGTGGTGATTCACTGGCACAGCTGCCCAGGGAGGTGTGGGGTCACCATCCCTGGTAGTATTGAAGGAGTGTGGAGATGTGGCACTGAGGGATGTGGTCAGTTGTTGGTAGATGGATGGTTGCAATGGATGGGGGGGGGGGGGGGGTGGGGAGGTGAAGGATTTTTCCAGCCCAAAGATTGGTTGTCTCCAAGTTTTGGAGAGAAGCTGAAGACTTGTCATCATCTGCGGGTGCATGAAGCCCTCAAACAAGGATTTGAGATTGAAGGTTTCATATTTATTCCTCTTCAGGGGGATAGCAGGGGAAGGGAAGAACCATGTGAAATTAGACAGCTGCATAAATACTGAGAGAGAATACATGAGAGAGAATGAATGAGAGTAAACACAGAGTAAGGAAGAAAAGTACAGAATGAGGACAGCTAAAGAAAAATGTGCATGTTGTTTGGGTTAGTGTTTTGTCTCTTCCTCACCTGTGTGCTCCAGTTTTCCATGTGTGGCACAGAGCGGTTTCTGGTGCAAGACTTTGAGGCATAAAATAAAGTCAGCATTGAACTTTGATGTTTGTACATGCTTGTGTTTAAACATCATGTTGAGACTTACCAACTCGTGGAGGCAGAACAAACAAGTTGATCGACTTTTGGACCCAAGCAGCTTGCTGAAAGTGTATTTCCATTATCTGTTAGGACACCATGATTCACTTGTTAGTTATTTAGCCTGGGTGGTTGCTATGCTGAGCTGTGGCATTGGAGTGCTACCACTTCTACAGCTAACCCAGGGGCTCCTTATCCTCAACTGGATGCTAAGCAGTGGTAGTCAGCCCTTGCTGCCATGGGCCAAGAAGAGCTCAAGAGCTGAGGGTGAAAACTGATAGCGACTGATAGAGACTGTGATTCATCTTCATGTCCTCTCTCTACAATCACTACGAATCTTAGGCTGAAAGGCTAAACAAGTGATTCATTCTTGGGCAGCTTTGTACTCGTCTCATGGCATTAGGAGATGCTGTGTGGTTGCTAGCCGTTGTTTGTAACTTTGAGGTGGCTTTTTTTGTGTTTTCTATGCCTGTCATCGAGGTGTTTTACTTTTTGCTTTTGATGAACTCAAATTAGATTCTCCTTTCAATTAAATCATAGCAATCTGGAGAGTGAAACACAGCACTCTGCAAGCTGTGGTCCTCTCTGGCCCGTTGGTGGTGGCACATCTTCCCAGCAATGCTCAAGTAGGATTAACTTTTTCTTCAACATTGTTAATGACGTTTATAATGGGTTGATGGTTGGAATAGATGATCTCAGTGGTCTTCTCCAACCGTAATGATTCCATGATGCCATGAATGAAAGTTTTACCTTGATGTGGTAGTTTAACTCCCTTTGCTCTGAGGTTTCACTCCTTTTCTGCCTTCTGTATTCAGGCTGACTTTCTGTATCCCATGCAGTCTCCATGTAGAATGCAGCCCCCTGTTTGACACTACTCTTTGATCTTATGCATTGCATTGGACAATCAAACTGAAAATTGAGTTGCCAACAAGTCATCTTTCAATAAGCCTTTGGAGAATTAATATTCTACCTTTTTCTTGCTTTTGTATGCAGTTAGCTGTAGTATAATTATACTCAAAGCTTGAATTATTGATCATAATTAATAATTTATTATCAGATTCTGGTTGTCGGACGGCATATTGACAACACCCCAAGAAAGTTTGGTGAAAAGCATCCATTAAGGCACCAAATTCTGAGGCCAGGCACAGTGCTGCACAGAGGTGAACAGAAGCAGTGCCATAAGTTCAGATTCTAACCCTGGGTGTGTGGAATATCTTGAAAACACATCACAGCGCCTGCGCACACAGACATAGTGGCGGAGTTTTGGAGGTAGGCGGCGATATACAACCATTATTTTGAGATTAGAATCTTCTGAAAGATAAGTTAGTTGAGCCTGTTAGCATATGAAACCTCCTCTGGTAATTAGACTGGATTGGATTTCCACTCGTGGTCTATTTTTCTTTTCAGAAGGTGGTTTTGTTAAGCACTGATAGGATGCATCTTCACAATTTTCATGTGGGATGACACTGTTGTATTCCATGAAGATTTAAAATGGTCACACGTGCAACTTTTTTGAGTGTAGAATTTTGATCTTGCAGTTAAAGCTCTGAAGTAGGCAAGAAATAAATCAGAAAAGGGTTGAGCTGAATACAAACACAGAGTTTTCAGCTTGATAGATGAGCACAGAGGCTGAAATTCTTAAGCCAACAGAACAGCAGTCTCTTGGGCATGATGATGTACATCCATCCTCATTGCCATTCTCCACCCCCATTCTTTTAACTCCATTGCTCAGCCATTATGCCGCAGATATGACTTGAACAAGCAAACACCTTGTTGTTCTTTGGACTCTGAAAGGGGACATAGCAGCATTAGTTGACTTTTCAAATGATAAAGTATGCTTCTTATGCACAGGGTTTTTTTTCCTTAGGCAATGAGGAACTTCAGTCACTAGATCATTCCTGTTCAAGTCTACACTAAGAGGTCAGAGGATCCATACTCCACTTTTATTTTTGGGTAGAAGTTTCCAAGAAGTACTTGGCCATGGTAGACAATAAGGAGTTGCACACCTCCTGTATTTGAGCAATAGAGCGTTGCCTCTGCCTCACGCATTGGTAGTTCCTTGGGGCTCTTAGCCTTTGGTGTTCTGTGCTTTTCCAAAATGGAAGAGTATATGGGTGTTGTTGAAAAGGGAGAGGGAGATTTTCATGGCTTTGTGATCTAATGCTTATGGAAATAAAAATTCATTTCCATATCTTGATGGCATTAAGAATATAATGGGAGCGCAGGCCCGTCAAACAATGCCTCCTGCATGGAGGAACAGACCTTAATGATGTGAGTCAGAGGGATGGAGGGGTGAATGGGTTCAATCACTGATGGAGTTGGAAAATGCTTTGGGGTTTCTCACACCACTTGCTTTGCCTACAGCATTTTCAATGACAGTGCCCATGCCAGAGATCTGTCAGCCCTGTTCTTGATGCTTTCCTGTGATGAAGTTTTGATTTTCTTTTCCATGTCACTTTGTTTGTTTGCAGATTATTTAATCTGAGACTGACCAGGAAAGAGATACTTGATTCTTAGGTGCACTGGATTATTAAAAGTTGCTAAAATGTAATAAAATTACCTGGCAAAGGTTGCAGTCATAAGATAGAAACACATTTTCCAACTCCAGTATGTATTTTAGTGCTCAAGGTTATCTGACAGTGACTTTGGAAGAGTATCTTTAGTCTTTCCTGTTAGGAGATGGGTCATTGTGGATCTTCAGCAGCATAACTATGAGAGATCTTAGAGCAGTGCCTTCCTATTGCTTCTTTGTGATCATTTCTGTTATTTCAGTTCTTTCAAAGCATGTATATTTTTGCCCTCCTAGATTGGCTCTATTTTTTTTTTTCCTCCAGCTGTTATGAGTCTGCTTTTTTTGGTGAATCAAGGGTGTTTTGACAAGGGATGTCTCCAAGACACCAGATGGATTGGGGCAGCCTTCTGTTAGCATGGTGCTGCTGCAGAGGAGGGTTGAACTTCCTATTAACCTTCCTGAGAGTTATCCACGTTCATCACCGTGCAAGAAATGACCTCGTAGGTGCATTGAAAGATCTCTCCTTTCCCTCTTCTGTTCTCTGAACATTTGCTTCCTGTATTGCGGGAGAGCAGAAGACTCAAAGGGTTTGCATGCTTGAGTGGTGGATGAGGTAAGCAGTCTGGAATATCAGGACAGACAAGAGCCCTTATAGATGGCAAGGAGCTGGTGTCACCAAAAAGAAAACAAGAAACGGAAACTTCACTCTTGCATGGAATGTACTGCTTGATAGCCATGACCTCACTCTGTCAGCACTGCAGTCTAGACAATTGTTTGCAAGTCTGCAAGGTACTCTTAGCAGGATGTCGGCCTGGTGGGCAGCTGCAGAATGCCACAGACACACTGACACTGCTTGTCATGGGGCAGTTAACAAAGATCCCAAAGGCCTGACTTGAAAACTTGTGCTTAGAAGATACTCGTGCATGTATGACTTCATTCAGGCTACAAGCCGTCTCCTGGAATCTCAAGTCATCTTCCTGTCATTACTTGCATAATGTTTTCAAAGCTTAGTGCCTTCATTTAGAAAGAGCCCTTGTCATTGGAGTGGGCGGTCCTCCCTCAGGTTGGGATGGGAATGAGAAGTCTGAGGAGGAAGGGATGAGAGCTGTGCAAAGACAGCGCTGCTGCAAGGAAGCCTGGAGCCAGTTTTCTTCTGTTCTACTAATTCAAACAGAACTGCTTCAGGTGCTTGAGAGCTTCTTATAATTGGAGAGTTTGAGCTGAGTGAGACTTTGAGCTGATGAGGGTGAGAGTATTGCAGAAAGAC